AAGGTGAAAGCGTTGTTTTCATCCTTTTCCTACTTATTATATTCTTTACAATGTTTCCAAGCAACAATTATATTTTAAATTGTTCAAATATGGCTCATTATTAATTAATTTTGCCATTTTCCCAAGAAGTCTCAATAACGTCATTTTGCAAGTGTTGCCAAAGATAAGGCTCAAAGCAGGAGTCAAAACTATTCGGTGGATTTGAAGGTTAATTAACAAAGGTAATAATATAAACTTGCGGACACAGGGCAAAAGAAAGCGGAATGTTATGGATTTCGTAGCTTATCTCTCTTTTTTAAGAACATTTTACAATTTTCTCGTGCATTTCCCGGTATTAGGATTTTTATAAAATGATGTATTATTAATTATTTATTAATTATATACATGTTTTTAATTAGTACATACCTCCTGGAACACCTTTCATATTGAAAACGTTCACTTCTCTAACACAGAACACAAATCTTTATCTTCAACGACAAGACTATTTGTAACATGGCCGGCTGCACGCACTACTAATTTCTGCGTTAGACCTGAAATATGACGGACGAAATGAACTGTTGATCGTCCGCACAACCGACATTCAGTAGTCCCAACATTACTGTAGCCAACCCGATAGTCCAAAATTCGCGACTAGAAACTTTTATTTTTTTCCTTTCTGACCACGATTTGAACATTCTAGCTCACTGTACACGGTCGGGACTCAAACCCCAGGACCTCAGGGTTAGAGGCACTACAGTGACTTCAGAAGACCTTGCCGGTCCCTGGGCTTGAACTTTCAAAGAGGTCGATAGTTTCAATAAAAAAAATTGAGGATCAACCAATTGAGATTGACCTTGTATGAGTTTGGCTCCAGATAAAATTTCTCATCATTAATTTAAATTATTATTATGTGTGTTAGTTCAAATATATATACAATTTCAATACCAAACACCACCTTAATTAAAAAGATTAAGTTGTTTTATTACATGTACATCCTCAAATGTGTTCCACAAACAAACATTCATATTTTGAATGCAACAAACTTCATTTGTACATGCATTGTCAATTCCAACAACAACAAAAAGTGTGGGGAAGAAAACCATTGCTTTCACAAACATGAGATGCACACAGAAATATGATCATTTTCTCATTTCTTTTTGTTTTCAATAAAGAGATTTTAATTAATGAACTAATTTCATTAGAATTTTTATTTAATCAACATAAAACTGCTCATGTTTTTGTGCTTTAACTTTCATCAGAACACATTTTGACTAAAGATTAAGCAAATGAGAATGTCATTTGTCGACTCATAAAACTTACATGTTTAGATGATTCATTAACAAGTGAATAAAACGTAATTTTTGTTTTTTAGGGAAATATTTGATAACAAGTACTATACAATGTACAGAATTAATGTTTTAATAATTTATGCAAAAGGCAACCAAAAACATTTGGGAAAAAATGGTTTAGACAAATTTGGTTTAATCACCAGTAAGGAGATTCCATTTTTTTTACTATTAATTTTTTCATTTAATTAAATGGCATTAAATATCCTTTTTTAACTTTATATAAAACATCTATGGGCTTTTTATCATATCATTTTAGACTATTTAATAATCTTCTAATAATAATTTAGAATCAGTAATTCACATTGTTGATGTGTTACTTGCTGTAAACGTGAGAGCAAGATCTACATCCAGTAATTTGAATCACACTTTCATCTTCACAACAAAAAGGAAAAGACTTATGTTATTGAGTTCTTCTCAGAAACAATAATCTTTCTTTGTTTCAGAAATCCTTATTTTAATCATGTTCCTTAACCCGGCAGTGCACACAGCTGATCTGAGAGCCTTTACTCTAAAATTGTGATTACAGTTTGGCTGCCCATGACCACTGCTTCCAGGTCCCTTTCCTTGCACAGACATGACTCACACCTCTCTTGAGAAAGTAAGTATTGTTATCCTTTCTAGCGGTGAGACATTCCAAAACGATGCATGGGCCTCAAGAGACCAAGTGCATGCACTCGTGCAATGGCTCCCTATCAGTACTTTACTTCAGTGACTTAACAAAATATTAGTGCTAAATATGCAAAAAGTTTGTTTGTTTGGAACATTCACTAAGTTTGGAATGCATGTAATGAAGCAAAGTTGTCAGATATGAAAAATATACCAAATACAATGAAAATAATATTTCAGCCTATTTCATTTCTTCAGCTATATTAATTTGCATACAAACCACTAAATAAAGTAATCAATTATTTAACAATATATCTCATTATTGATCACAGTATCCATCGTTTATCTGGTACACTCCTTTGATTGAAATTATAAGGGGAAATTGAATTAAGGGAACTGGAAACAGAAGGGTCAGTGAGACCAGGTGCGTGCACTGATGCTACAGAAATAGGCACATGTGCTGCTGGGTTAAAGCATGAACACGATTAAACAATTAATACTCCAAAGAACCAGGTTCAGGTCCTGCATAAAAGCTTCTTATTTCTGTAAGATTATAATTGCAAATACCTATCTATGTAAAATCTAGTGAACTAAATTGACATTTTTTAACCATAATCTCAACTATATATGTTTTTTTGCCAATTTGCACTGAAGATTAATTAAGAAGACAACCTGGATACAATACCCACTACATATGCAATGAAATCAATAATATAATTGTTAAAAATACACTTTATTCTATTTATAAAGACCAACAAAGAAGTCTTTATAAACAACATTTTCTCCTGGGCTAAATTATTGGTAAGGAAAAATTAAACACTAATGAATTTAACTGTATGAAGAAGTAAAAGAATATAATTAAAAATTATTTTATAATGTTTAAAAACAACAACAAAATGTGCTAAATACACATGTTTTGAAACAGTGTTTATATGCAATCTAAGAAACAGATTAATTCCTCTAAGCAGCCCCTTAAATAGAATCCTATTTTCCAGCAGTTTTTTGATTTGAACTCTTTAGCCTAACAGATGCATTGTTCTTCTCAATATAATTAAATTTCTTCCTAAAGATAAAATTATTTTATTCAGACACTGCACTATAGTAACACAGTGAACAAGAAACACGAACTATGCACATAGAATAGCCAAACACGTGATCTCAAAAAGAGTAGTTTAACTGAATTAATTTTAATTGTCACAAGTGTGTTCTATGGGATTATTTTACAGTTTCTAACACTATTTATATTCAAACACTTTGATCTTCAGGTTGGCATAAATGCAGTGCATTTAATACATACCATCAGACTCTCTTTATACATTGCTACACTCAATAATATATAGAATCTAATGACCAAAGATATACGTTGTAAAGGGCCTCCTCTTATAAGGAATATATAAGACATTGCTAAATAAAAAATACATTTATATGTCAATTTTTTACCATCTCTTCAATTCATATGTTGTAAGTAAACTATCATTCTCTATATTAATCATTTATTTATTTCTGCCTCTTTGCCTACTGAAAAATATATAATCATTTGTTGGTATACTCCATTACCAACAAATTTTTGTGTTCTTCAACACTCTTACCTACTGCACACTGTTAACTATTTCTAATCAATTACTATTAAATAAGACACAATCATTGAGATGGATACATGTTGCATTTTCATTACAAGACATCAGGACTATTTTATGATAAATTAATCACATTAAATGTGTATGTTACATCTTATTACTGTATTATAGATTCTAAAGACCTCTTGAGCAAGCCTACATATTCATTTACACAATTATTTGTAAAATATCCTTAACCCTCAATTTTGAAAAATAATATTTAATCAACCAGGAATTTACGTTTATTTAAATATCTGCTAATTAATTTTCTTTTTTTAGTTAATATCTTGTATGGTAATGTCAACTCTTCAGTGCAGTCAACTTAGGATATAGGTAACTTTCAATTATCTTGATTTGAAATCACTGGCCCTGATGCACATCCCCCAATCACAAATACACACTACAAATTTCAGTTATAATGAACTCTCAACATCAGTTATAGTCAACACAGAAATGTATTTTACAGGGGAGGGGCACCTCGGTACTAAAATTCATATAACACTCATTTTCATAGTGGGTCTTGTGGATTATTTTTGTAACATTTATGGAAAATGAAAAAGATTCAGCATTACGTGCCACTGAGGGCATTATTCTGGCTTATCAATGGCTGTAGTTGAAAGACTGCAACAGTGTGGTCTGCAAGATGAAAACTAGTGAAATCCAATCTAACTAGGGCATTGCAAATGAGGTGAAAAGGTTTTCTAGAACAGAAGTAAATGAATGATAATAATGAAAAAAATACAAACATAAAGCATTTGCTCCAACAGTACAAGAGGCATTGAAGGTTTTTTATATACTGCACTAGGATATTTAGTGTTGAATAATGTAAAATCATGTGTGGATTGAATATATAATTACATTTTAAGTTGAGGGTACATTCTCTAATTTACTAAGAGGAAATTAAATTATATGAAGATATTTTAATGCTCGTTTGTGGAAATTAAGCAATGAAGGAATGTTAACTACTCTAGAGCTTCAGCGTGTGTTCATTGATCACATTTAACACACACTGTTATCAATTGCAATTGCCAGGTAATTGCATGAAGTGGGCAGTGTTTGAAGACCCACAAGGGAGGCCTCGTTTCCCTTATAATTTCCACACTTTTACAGCTAACTCCTTTACTGTTCTACTCTCCTTTCTTCACAAAGTTATTATTTGAAGAAATTGTTTCCAGTGAAGGATGCAAAAGACTTATGTATTGCAACCTGCTTCCATGAAGATTGCGACTATGATAATGCTGCCTGTGATGTTGATTTGGCCCAGGAAAATAGACTGTATAATACTCAAGCTGTTTATTAACAGTGCCTTCAAGTGAAAGTGTATTGAAGTGAGCAACTTCTTAAAAGTATTTGACGAAAATAGTGTGAACATAATATAATGTATTTTTAAACAATACACTTTTCAGTAATAATGTAAACACTAGGTTCAGGTGAAAAGTTTGGTACACACTTATAGTTTGTTGGAGGTTCCTTTTTTTTAAAATTTTTAAATTTTAGATCTAAACAACCTACTCCCTAGTTGATTTTATAAAAAAGGATAAAAATAAAAGACTATCATTTTAATGTTCCTGATATCATACATAATTGTGTGAAAGCAGGGCCATGGGAAAATGCTGGACTCTGAGATATAAACTCATAAGCAACAATTGCCATGAAAACACAATATATAAAGCTTTCCAATACAGACTGCATAACCAGTTTCCTCCCTACAAGTGTTTAATTTGTTCTTTAAAATATTGATGGATCTAAGACAGGAAATGCTAATGGTGAAATAGCTCTGTTTTTACTTCACTGTTTTCCAAAATTATTCTAGTGTTCTCACTAGCGTTCAGACACTGCTATTTTATCTTTTGTATTTGCATTTTCTTTATTAAAAAAACATTCTTCACATTCATAGTTTCCCCAATAGTAAGAAATCACAAATATAATATTTGGATAGAAAACAAAACATGACTTTATATAAACAATTTATTGCAAGTGAAAAGTCAATTTTTAGGACACACAAGAATAAGCAATGAATGGACATTAGATTTAAAACATTTCTATGAAGGCTGATTAAATGCAACAAACAGTAGCCAATATACTCTGATAATATATTTGATTAATCAGCAAGTGAGAATGAATACAGGAACAATAATCTTCGATGTCGATGTTTGATATTCAAAGTCTTTAAATAATAACTTTCATTACAAGAATTACAAATTAAAGACTAGTATGGACAAGTTATGGAAAGTATTAAAGTTAGTTGAAAAGCAGAATTTCCATTTTATTGTTGAAGTTTCATCTCCTATGAAGATTGCTGAACTTTAACAACATTCTCCTAAGGGAATATTCAACAACATTAACATACAAACACAATATTGTTTTAATGAACAAATGTATTATTTACACTGCAAAAAATACAGAGAACACAGTATAAAAATGAAAGCACATATTAGCAATTTTTATTATCCGCAGTTTGAAAGTAAAGGTAAGTGATAAGATGTAAGAATCCAAATCATAATGCTAGGTAGGTGAGATTATTGTATCATAAGTTAGCAAAACACAAATGGGTCTTTTCAATTGTAATAAATATTATGAAGCTTTCAACTGAGTTTGGGCAAACTGTTGCTGCAATTTGTTCAGAGCTTCTCTGTGAGAGTCTTGCTTTTTGTCCAGCGTAGCTATAAAATCATCAGTGCGTTTTCTGCAAAGAAACAAGTAAAAACAAAGGCTTTAATACAGGAAATAATTAATGTTAACAATAACGATTAAAAATATAGGAGTTTTCTCTATATATAGTTTTTTGCCAGACACTAATAATATCTAAATGTTGCTCTATTCAACAATTCAAAGGTCAGAACGAAGTTTTCGATCATATTTCTTCCATTTCCAGCAATAAAATATAACAAATTGCTGAACAATACACAATACAATTTTATATGTAATTATTTTATATTTAATTAAGAGTTGTAGTTCCTTTCAAATTCCAATTGAGTGAATAGTGAACTTTTCAACTGAGAAGATAAATATTATCATCATGCTTTGGTCTGTCTGATAAATTTTCTACAATGTTGGGCAAAATTTCAAAACAAAGTAAACAAGTTATCCTTCAGTTCACGTACCATATTATTCATAGTACTGTTTTGGAAAATAAATTTCTTTTCTTTGGTTGTTGTCCTCAATATTTACTTACCATTTCCTTCCTTCTAGATACCATCTATATGATAACTGTAATATGCTCTATTTTTATGACGAAGAGTAAATGATCTAACTGCATCATTCAACACGTACAGTACACATACAGTAAGTATTGGGCAACTTCACCAAAACCATCATTTTTTCTATTAATTTTCTAATTGTGAAGCAAAAAATATCAAAGATATAATCACAATAAGAGTAACTAGGAACTGAATTTGTGTCTGTGCTTTGGAGAAGGTATACCGGTTTATAGGATTGTATTCACTTAAAATAAATTAAATGAAAATTTGCCTAAACATGTCATAACTAGGGCTTTGCCCAGTATAAAATATGCAGTTAAAACTTCAAAAGCTGAAAAAGTAGGCAGATAATATGGGGGAAATTCTTCTAAAAACACTACATTCGGTACTAGATACCTAAGCTATTGGAAGAGAAATCATCTGTTAGTACTGAATTTACATTTTACTACACATTTTGGGCTGGACAACAACAACAGTAATATATATGCAAGTGATAAAATGGCAAATGACAAAAAAGACAGTGTCAAAAGTGAGGACAGTCAGAGAAGAAGTGACTAATAGATTTTATAAAATTAGATATTTGCAAGATTAGATATTTAAGGCTTCATAGTTTTACCCAATTTTGTGAATATCTCCATTATTTGTGTATAATCACCATTTTTAAACACTCTAAACAGTAATCAAGGGAATAAAAGAAGAGAAAATAATAAAGAAGTCATGATCTTACTTTTGTTCTCTATAACAGAAAAATGAGTTATAATAGGAAATAATACCAACCCCAAACTAAGCAGTTCAATGCATTGTTAATTGAAAGATAAGCAAAGTAATTCAGAATAATCCTAAAATACACTATTTTATACAGTTTACTGCGAATATGCACAATATAAATTTGAAACAAAAATCTTGGGTCTCCAATTCAGTTACAAATCAGAAGTCTGGATTTCTCCAAATAACCAGATGAAATATGCAATTGCACATAAATTCAAGCCCTAGTTATAATAGAATCATTTATAGCTCTTATTACTGTTAATATTTATTAAGGAACTTTCATTTAAAGAACTTACTTTTAATCTACTGTTGGGCAATTCCTTCTTAAACAATCATCTTACAAACAATTCACAGTTAAGCCTTACAAGATGACAATACACAGATGAGAACATAATGATAACAACAAACATAGACATCATAGAAAAATAAAAGCAAGAATAATTTGCAGAAAGAATTCTCACAAAATTTGTTGAGAAGAAAAACAAATGAAAGTCTATGAAAAATAGGTTAAAATAACCAGAACTGAGCAACTTGAAGGATGATAAGCATATCCTTCTGAATAGATCACTTAGTATCGTAGTATTATCATTAGTACTTTAAAAAAATTTGACAATTTTCAAATTGTTCTATTGTTTATTGATTTAAAGTACTGTACAGACAACAGTATATATTTGATATAGTCTGATTCAGTGCTAATATAATTATTTAACTTATCACATTTCCATATCACAGAAATATTTTATCACAAATTTGGAAAAAGAGTTCAAAGGTCATTAAAGTCCATGGTCAAGACCCTCTTCAATTGAAGACTGTCTTGTCATGGCCTGCTGTGTTGAAGAGATGACCATAAGATCTTTGGAAGAAGCAGGCACCAAGTGCCATTACTATGTTCTTGGGTAGAATATTCCAAGTATCAACATCTCTGTTGCTCTGACAATTTTTGTTTTGTATTCGACTATGCCTAAACTTCATAAGTTTCATATTATGGCCTCGTAGTTGCAAATTTTCAGAGTGACAAAAAATGTTATCAAGGTCAGTGTTGTAAGGCCCATGTAAAATATTAAAAGTTTCAATCATATTGTCTTATGGTCGCAAGGTGGAAATCCATGTCTCAACAGTTGTTCATCATAGGTCACGTTTTAAGATCTATGGGTATCCACCTGGCTCTTCCTTGTGTGCTTTCCAACAGGTTTGTATCTTTAATCAGGTGCGAGTTCCAAATCATGGAACCAAATTCAACTATGAGAAGTATGTAGGACTTATACAGAGAGAGATAAATATGTCACTTCTTATCGCATTAACTCCTGATCCACGGATAAGCCACCACCTGATGGATACGCTACTTTGTTAACTACCGTGTCCTGGGCAATACAGATGTTATTCAAAAGTTGTAAAACAAAAAACTAAGGTACACATCAGTTTGAAGTTGATAAAATCTTGTAGTATTGTCTTTTCTCTTTAAGTCTGTATATATTTTACATTAATTTTATTCTAAGATGGTAGTGAAAACAGAACTCAAAGAAACAAATGTTGTCAATTTTATAGCTGAACTATTTTCTTGTAATGTAAAATATCTTCATTACAAGAACTGTAGTGATTGAATGTTCTTTAATGACAGAAAAACTGAAGAACTAAATTACACAGGATTTAAGTATGTAACAGTGAGCATTTTAAATTAGGAATTTCTATCTTGATTCATACATGATGCGAATTAATATTCCAAGCATGCTGAAGAGTCTGCTTCTCCTTCAAAGTTTAAGTACACAAGTAGAAGAAAACGCATGCTGGCAGCAGCTTACTGCAATTAAAGGTGCAGGTGGATTGCATTGGCTAGATCATCTAGGAGAAACACTTATTGTACTGCATAATTCTGATGATAGATATTCCAAGGATTAAGCTTTCATTTGAAATAGAAGTTTCATTTGTGTTCCCATACACCATTGTTTTATTAACATACTATATACTATTGATGATTAATTATTAAAACATTTTGAATATAAAAAGTGTGTAATAACTAATCATAGCATAATAATAGTATTAACAAAATTTTTGAACTAACAATTATTCAATATAAAGAAAAAAATAATGATATGTATGACAGTATAGACAAACAGGACTAACTATGAAAACTTTGAACAAAAATTGAAGTATTTTACTTGAAATTAAATAAATATGATGTATCATTCCTGGTCCACTTTAAGATAATTTAGTACAACTAGGGGGAATGCAGGACATACCAAACTTTTTCTTCCTCTTACTGTTATTACTAGAAACTTAATTTTTTCCCAATTTCATATTTCTCTTGCTTAGTCACACAAGTCTGGAGTTCAGTTTTCCGAATGGGGAATTCCTAGGAGCTCATTTGGAAGTTTTATTTTGCATGTTTGAGCTACTAAGAAAATTGCATATTTCAGTGTTATGCTAGATTATGATACATATATTATGATCACTAAAGATTAAAAGTCTGAATTTCAAGGATGATTTATAAACTTTATTTGGTTTGTTTCCTCTGTACCTGAAAAATCTGTTAGTAGTGAATATTAAGTCATTCATATTATGACTTCTCTTAATTTCTTTCTCTTTTATCCCTCTTGAATACTATACTTTGTGTCACAAAGAAACTTATGCGTATAATTGAGTAACGATAACGTAAATGAACGACACTTAATCACAGCCCTAATTCCTGTTTAGTTGAAAGAGGAATCCGCTCAAATCATATTCTTCAAACATCAATTTTGTAGAATCAGTTGCTACTTATCAACGACTCTCAATCATTTCTCTTTCTCATTTTGCCTCCAGCTACCAATTAGTTTGTTTGCTATCACAAAATGAAGTTCTCATTAGAAATGCCCAAGTGTTCCATCACATACTTCCAAACTACAACCACATCTCACGACTTATTTTAATCTAAAAGTAATTTCTATTTATGTCAGTAGGTATTTCGAATCCTTAGATAATGTTTTTAAATAATTTCACTCATTTTAAGGGTACAGTTTTTGTTATTTTATGATTTTACTGCAAATGTTTGCTTATTGCTTAAATTTCTAATGCATATTTAGACATATACTGCATAAAAGTCCAGTCCCAAGTTATTACTCAACAAGCACTCATATTTGGAAAAAAGGACATGACATTATTTAATGATCAACAACTGAGAGATAAATTTCAGAGAGATTGAAATCTCCAGCATTAATACTTGAGATGTATGACACGTTTGAAAATTATTTCAATTTTTGAAGATTTTTCAATATTGTTCATTACAACCACAAACGATTGGAGAGAAACAGAAAACTGTGTAATAGGAAGTATATTACATTAACACAGCTGACATTAACAGCTATTACAAAATGAAATTCCAAAAATTAGTCAATCACAAGGCTCCACATTTTGTTGTATATTCTTTTACCAAAAAAAAAAGTATTTCAGCATTCTTGTAACTACTTATGTAACAGAAGCATAAGTAGTATTATCACACGAATTATAGCCCAACTTCCAGTCAGATTATGTGAGTATAAGGGCCCATTAGGCAAGGTGCGTGGATATGTTTCAATTTCCTTCCCTGAGGTCTTTGTATTCTATCTCATGTCACTGTACATTCAGTAACTACCAAACATTATTTCAACTTTTTATAATGAAAAACAAAAGTTAAACATTAATTAAGTTTTCATGTTCCATCATTAAAAAGGAGAGAAAAAACAAACATTCAAGGTGTGTTGTAATTAACCTGTGAAAACACATCAGATTACATGAAGCGGCTGTGATTTCTATCTAAAGGGTTTAGCTTACAGTTCATTTCTAATAAAGTCCATCCTCTTGGCAACATTTTGCTTTGCTTCTTCAAGATCTTGTTTAATAAGTACTGGGCCAATTAGCTTATAAACATCAGCATCACTCTTCAATAAATCAAGTTCCTGAAATCAATAAAAAACTACAAGTTTCCAATTTCCACGCCTATGCGGAAAAAAGTAGTGAAATTTGATACCTGTTTCACGGCAGTATTTTCATTCAACTGGGCATCAAGTTGCTGACGCTGTTGAAGAGCTTTCTGATAATCTACGATGCAAACAAAGAAATTCTTATAAACATTAGTATTTACGGCCGAATTTTATTCAATGTAAAATAATATATACCTTTCTGGACACTTCTGAATTTCTCCACCTCCTGCTGAAGTCTATTCTGCACTTCTTCACTCATCGTTGAGGTTAGGTAGAGAAGAGAAATGAAACTTGATGCGGAGGTCTTCAATAGCACCACAATACGAACTAAATCTTGAAGTCAAATATCCAATTTCACACTCTAAAACACACACATTTATTAACCGGAAAACAATAAAATAAATTTTATACGGTAATAGTTAAAACAGACAGATGCACACTTCCCGACCGTACATCATTTGTCTCTTGCTCTCTTTGGCTCTCTTCTCTATAGAAGTGCTGTGCGTGGGTGAGGAAGTATGTGATTTTCTACCACATCCGTGGTTTAGCCTGCTTTTGTAGGCTTGGATGCTCAAAGTTTGTCCTACTATGGGAGTGGGAGAAATGACGTACGGAAATTCCCCTAAGCTAGGCGGTACTTTTGAATACATAAACATTTACTAAATGTGATATTCTTAATTTCGGTGTACTCTAGTGCAGGGGTTCCCGAACATTCTTTTACCACGCCCCCATCTGTCAAAAGAAAAACTTTCCAAGCTCCCTTGCACATTTTTATTTGGTAATGAATGAAACAAGTGTTATATTGAATAATAATATATTTAATTTTTTTACTCTTTACAATATTACAAGTTAATTATGGTCTTTTTGACCTTTTGTAGAAATGTTCGGTAGGTTTTTTAAGGTTAGATCTGGAAAATACATTACGATTTATGCCTATCAGATTTATGTCTATTTAGTATTACAAGATGTAATTTAAATGAAACAAGTACGTTTCAAATAACGGCTCCAAATGTTTTGATTAAATTTTGGCATTGAATAGTGCAAAGGACGTTTAAGAGAACAATGCAGGCCTAATTTTCGTTGACATCCCTGATTTTTCGGAAATTGGAAAAATAATTTTTAAAACTTTAAAATTGGAGATAGAGATGATTGTCTCAAAGTCTGCACTCCAAAATTAGCTCTTTAAAAAATATAATGTACTTTTTTTTTGTAAAACGAGTATTTTTTGCGATATTCGCGATTGAAATGTACGATTTTCCCCCCAAACCCGCTTCAATTTCTTTCTTTAAATTTTCTCTACATATATAAGTAGGAGGTGGATTTTAATGAAATGTTATCTTTTTTAAACTTTAGAACAAGAGAGCAAACTTTAGAATGCTGTTTAGTATATACATTTATTTTATGTTATGGCAAAACTACTAAATGTTATGACATAATTTACTATTGAAATGACCCATTTTTATGTCACTTTTTTTGCATTTTTCGTTGATTTCGACTAAGCCATTTTTTACCTTTTTACGTAATTGTTAATGCGTGTTTCGCTGATTTTATCGATTATAATATCATTTTAATGGTACTTGCTTCAAACAATATTTACTAGGTGCAACAAATGTTCACCATAGAATTCCTGCGTAGCATATTCGATGTGTTCGCTCATACATTGTAATGTCAGCCGTTGTGAGTAACTATGGGCCGGTTTCACCAACCAGGATCAAATTCGTAGTTGATCCGAGTTTCGTGATCCAGATCCGCGGAGTCAAGGCCGACTTGATCCCTGTGCGTTTCACCAACGTTTTGAGACATCGAAGTTAAT